CTGCGCGTATGGATGCAAAAAATTTTCTGCGAGGGAAAAATTTCAGCGCGAAATATCTCTCCTCGAGACAATTCACGGACAATCTTCCAATCGTATTTTTTTTTTCAGCGCGCAGCACACTCTTTGGCGCTTCTGCCTCCTGCAGTACTTGTTGTAGTAGTAGTAAGCGCATCTACGATATACGTACTACATAACTACCGGTTGACGCGCGAGGAAAGAAATTCCAGGCGTTGCGTGCCTCCGAAGCGCCTGCGACAAGGTCGAGAGTATTGCAATTTTCCTCCTCGTTTTATTTCCCTCTTATTTTTTATTTTTTATTTTTTATTCACTTTCCCTCTGCTCTTCTTCTTATCGGAAGCTCTCTCTCTTTCTCACTCGCGCGCGCGTTGAACGATTGTCCTTTATTTTATGCTGCTGCGTTTTATACGATTTTGGTGAAGCCCGATTTATTGGGAATGCGCAACGCGCGCGCGGCGCTATATACTGTCATTATATAGCACGATAGAAAACCCATTCGCACGCCTTTATAGTGGTGAATGTGCGCGAATCTGTGTGTGTGTGTGCGTGTACGCCAAAGCTGGGAGTGAAAAAAGTCAATCGCGAGCTTGCGCCAGGGAATATTCGAAAAATTCGGGATTCAATGTCTTGCGCAGAGAGCTCCGGAGGAAAATAATAATAATAAAATGTTCCAGCTGAGATCCCTACGCATTTCTTCGGTTTCATTATTTCTACGCGCGCTGATAGTATGTGTGTTTGTGTGTATATGCCTCAGTCCTCTCTTTGAAGTTTTGCGTATACACGCATACTCGCGATAAAAAAAAAGGAGAGAAAGACCCAAAGCTCTCGAATAAACGCTACTATACGTGTATACGGCAAGGCTTGCGCGACCCACCGGAGCCGAGGGATGGAAAAAGAGCTTTTTTCTCGCTGATATAGAAAACGATTGCCCCGCGCACAGGAGGCTGCAGCAGAACGAGAGAGAGAGGCCAGAGCAATATCGTCAAGCTTTATCTAAACGACCTGTGAGAAATGACTCTGTGTGTACGTACGTATGTATGTGTGTATGTGTGTATTTGAAATTTACCGAAAAATAGCCATCGTTGCACTGTTATGTGCCCCGATGAGCTTGCGGGTCGCGCGACGACGCGCGGCGCGCAAATATTCCGCTCGAACGAGCGTACAATGTGTGTACATTTTTAGCAAATGTGTATAATACTCGAGAGCCGTGCACGGCGTGTGTACACATAACTACTGCTGCTGCCTAGCAATTGCTGCTCGCGCGGAATATGTTTGTTCGACCGTCTGTGAAAAAAAAAAAAAAATTGTTTGAATAAGCTCGAAAGGCTCTTTATACCGATGGACGATCATCGTACACCCACACCCCGAAAAACGGATTGATGATCTCATTCGAGCTCGCGCTTCGTGTCTTGTTATATGGGTATATATAGGTGTATAAGCCATAATAGCGGCGATTTTTTTCGCCCTCTCGACAAAGATCGATGGAGAAAATTTCAAGGATCGCTGGTGGCGCCGACGACGTTATTTTCATTCATTCCGGAAGATTTCCTTGCTTGTATTGCATCGGAAAGCTCGGCTATCGCATTAATAATATTCAATGCTGAACTTCATCTTCTTCTTTAACCTTATTTTCTTTTTTATTATTACGTTTCCAACTGATTAACGCCAAAAAAAAAAGGAAAGGGAGGGAGTGGGAAAAAGTTTTTTTTTTTTCTATACGTGCGACTGCTCTTCCACTGGTACTGCTGCGCTACTGCACTCTCGCGCGCGAATCAAGAAAATATCGCCGCGGCGTACGTTTGCATACAAATGACAGTGGAGGAGGCTGTGTGTGTGTGTATGTGCGCGCATGTAAAGCATAGGATTTTCGTGATATACATACGTCGCCCCTAAAGGAGGTCAAAAGCACAGTAAAGAAGGACCAGCCAGCAGCAGCAGCGTAGCTACTACTACTGGTGCATCCTGGTTTATTTTCCCATGTATATATATATAGATAGAGAGCAAGAGAAGATCGACGGACGAAGAGGAAATTGTCTTGTCCCCTTGGGGTCGTCCTCGTCGTCGTGTGCTTTGCCTGCCCAACAACGCTCGCACGCGCCTGGGCTGTATAGAGGTATATACCTTTGCGCGCGTACCCGCACGTACACAAACACGTTTGTGCCTTTGTATGTGTACGCGTGTGTGTGTATATATTTACGTTTATCCGATTGCGCTTGGGCGTCGTTGTGATTTTTCTTTCTCTCTCTCTCTCCCTCTCGCTCGTGTGGTCGTTTTTTTTTTCGTATGTGACCCTCCTTTTCTTCTTTCGCTCACGGTTTTCTCCGCTGTATATGATTTTCGTACGCCAGGCTGGACATGAGTCAAATTTCCGTGTCATTTCAATGTTAACGGCACTCGCGTGGCCGATGCATGCGTGCTATGCGCTTTTCTTCCGGTACGCTGCGGTGCAAAATGACGTGTATATAAGCGGGGAAGAAAAAAAAATGTCGAAATAAATATAAGAAGTGAAGTATAAAGGCTTTTCTGCGGACGTTATAATATATACGCGTACCATAACGTGCGCGAGATATTGTACAATAACAAATTCAATTACGCTCAACAAATAGCCGAACGCGCATACGCGAATGTCCCTTGTACCAATAATTAATGTTTCTCTAAGGCTAGACTTGCTCTCCTCGTCGTACCTGCAATATACGTGCCGTTGTCTGTGTCTGTGTGTGTGCGTATATTCAGTATATTCCATACGTATGTGTGTGTTTATTCAGCATGTACGGTCTGTTTCACTTGTACAGCTACGAGTCTGCTTGCGCGCGCGAGCTAAAGGGCACAAACTGGGCAGAAATCGTGTATGCTAATTAAGTTAAGCCTTCAAGAAAGTTTCGGATTGAGTTTGATGCTTGGCGCTGCTGCTACTGCTGCTGCTGTTGGATTATATATACGTGCCCTGCTCTCTCTCTCTCTCTCTCTGCTTCGTTATATGGCATATACGTACTATATCGTAATACTCGCGTGTGCGCGCAATTGGCCGTAATTCAAGCTTATGTACGTACAATATGAATTGCCCTACACGCGGCGACGGCCTACCTGTTATATCTATACATATAACACATACAAATTCGAGTGTATTTGTGTATACCTCGAGTTTTACCATACATACATACATACATACATATAGCGCGGCCGAAAAGCTGGCCCGGCTCTCGACTGCAGCAGCAGCAGCCGCGCGTGTACGAGTTTCGCTTGAATTGCATTTAAACGCGTTGATCTCTTCTCTCTCTCTCTCTGCCTCTCTTTATGTACGCGTGTGTACCTTTGCCCTTTCAGCCCAACCACCCGAACCCTCTTGCTCCTAACTCATATATAAATATTATTATAGATTCTCGCGGTAGGGCGTAGAGCGCGGGGAGGGTGCGAATTTGGTTTTACGCAGCGATTAGTCCTGCCCTATAGCACACGCGCAGCTAGCTTCTGTGCGTTAATGCGCCTCGATCGACGCGCGCGCGTGCCCAATAGCCAATACTTGGGCCTTTAACGATGATCCATTAATACATATTCTCTGGGCTTTACGAGCAGCGTCGATTCGTTACGAGCCCCTCGTTAAAGAGTCTGTACACTGTGTGTATACCGTGTATATATGCCGCGCGTACCTGTGCGACCTATTTGACCCAATATCACTCGACACGAGTAACAAAAAGGCAAAGAAAAAAAAGCCAGGAAAAAATTCGATCTACGCCGAGGTAGGTAGGTACTATAACGCGAAACGAATGATTTTGCACTGCGCCCCGGCTTTTAATCATCCCTTCCTCTCTTCTTCTTCCTTTTTTTTTATATTCTCCCACCCTCGCGCAACGGCTTCGTCGTCACGGGTTAGTTTTGGATGTCATATCGATCTTTATCTCGTCAAATACATTTTCATCCTGCCTGCCTCCCTCTCCCTCTACCCATCTTCGCTGCGCTATTTCAGAGCTCGATCAAGATGTTTTACAATTTTAAACGCGAGAGAGCTAGCTTCGTTGCCTCTTTCTACTTTTTTTTTCTTCCTCTCGTGCTCTCTCGCTCCCTCTCTCCCTTCTTCTTCATCTCAATGCGCTCCTCTCTTTACCCGTGATTTGACGTCAACGACGAGCCATTTTGCAGTGCCTTTAACCGGCCGTAAGCGCGAGTACGCTCACTCCTTTTTTTTCACTTTTTTTTTACTTTTTCTCTCTTTCCCTTTTTTTCCTCTTTCTTTTTCTTTTTTTTAGTCAATCCTCCACCCGGATATTTCGCGTTTACCAGAAAGACTCGGGGCCAGAGCCAAGGGAGAGAGAGAGAGAGAGAGAGATTTTCTGCGCCTGAAGCGCGCGTGAATAGGTGCACACACAGGAGCCAGGCTACTATTGCAGCTGGCCTCGGCTCTCTCTCTCCTCTCCTTCCCTTATAACCCCGTAAAAAGGCCTCGTAAAACGTCGAAGATATACCCCCGAGAGGTGCGGAAATGGGACTCGATGCTAACTTATCGATTGCTTTCGCTTCCCGCTGTGCTTCTTCTTCTTCTTACCTATCTTTCGCTCGGCTAGGCGATCGCGCGAGAGCTGACTCTATATTTTTTTCCAGATGGACGCGTTGATTTTTTCCCCTTTCTCGTCGTGTAAAAATTAAAACTCATTGATACTGCTGTACTGGATGAAGGCAGCGTGATTTGGATTTTTTGCCCTTTCTGGTATCCTCTGCGCGTTATATAGCATTTCGTAGCTAGTGTGCAGTACATAGTGGCATATAAGTTTCTATTATTGGCTCTTGCCGTCGAGTCCACGGGAATATTGCATTCCTCGAACTGTCGATGCAATAATGGGAAAAAAATATATAACTGCTGACACCTATACATACCTACCTACATGCAGTGCATTAATGACAATAATAAAAAAAATGCTTATTTCTCACGTATAATAATAATAACGATAATAATGTTTGTGTTTTGCTTTCTTCTTTGTCAACCTCAGTGAAATATCTGCGCGAGGTGACGCCGTACTTTCGCAAGGCGTCGATCATCCAGGAGGTCGGCTGGGAGCTGCAGCGCGGCTTTCTGAGCGCGACGCCGCCGCCGCCCAAGTCGCCGCCGCGCGCCGACACGAGATACCTGCCGCTGCAGCTCTGCAGGCTTACCAGGTCTCATCCGTCTGTCGATCCAGGTATGTATCGTCCATATATATGATACATCCGTTATACCTTTTACGCAGTACGTACGCGCGAAGTCTTCTCTCAAAAAGACACGTTGATAGGGCTATGCGTAGGCAGTTTTACAGAGTTGTGATTTGACGTTTTCGCAAGAGCGAGAGATTTTAGAAATTTGATAGTTTACCTTGGCGTTTCTAACTTTACTCGATAATCATTTTTTTGGACTGGAAACATTTTATAGCTAAATATCTTGACTTTGCCAATTGCAGATTTACGGATGAAGGAGTACTCGCCATCTAGTGGTAGAGGCTCAAAGTTATTTTATCATATTTCGGTGGTTGAAAATCCGTCAAAGTTTTTTAAAACTGTCAAATGGTTATCTTTAAGGGGGGAAAGGTACCTTAAACCTACATTTATGAAAAATTTATTAATTATGAAGAAAAAAATTTTTTTTGGCATATACAGAGAAAACTCTGTTTTCTTCACTCTTTTTTCAAAGTTTTTCACTCTGGAATATGAAAATTGAGGTCCCAGTCACTATAGAACCCTCCTCGATGAAGCAAGCCCACAGTCCTGACAGGTACCCCTGTGCCGTAGGATCCAGCTAGAACCGATGGTTCAATCATGGTCCTCGGGGTCTCATTTTGATCATTAGATGTGTGGTTACAAACGCAAGCACTTTCAGATTTTTTAATTTGTTATACACAATTTGCCAGCCACATATACACATTTATTCATTAATATATATGATAAAATGACAGATTATGCTACATCATAGCCTGAAAAAAGTGCTCATTTGTCCCAATACCTTTGAAAGTGCTTGCGTTTGTAACCATTCTCATGTAGAACAATCCCTGAAAATTTCAGCTCATTTGCTCAAACGGTTTACATGGAAAGTTACGGCAACAAAGCAATTTTGAGATAAAACGTTCCTGCCCAAGAGTTGAAAAAAACCAAAATACATCAATATATGTCATAATGATACTCTCATGTCACTGAGGCTGCTTAAAACTTTTTGGACAATAAAGAACAGTAATTCAATTTGAATTTTCAACATATTGGACCCACAAGGACAATGTTCAATTATCCCAGACAGCCACACAAAGCCAAATGCGCCAATTTCATCACTACATTTTATAAGTTTGTGACGACCACGTATGCGGCCGCACGAGCGCTCGTCTGCTGCGCGATCAGCTGAGCGAGCCGCGGTAGGCCCCACGTATGTACGCGCGTAGCTAGGCAACGCGTGGCCCCCACCGTCGGCGCCCGCCTATATAAACCAGCGAGCCGCGGCGGTAGAGCAGATTCGGCACTAGCCAAAGCGAGCGACGCATCGTGATTGTCTATAAAAATCCAAATATATATATTAGTACACCGTGCGACGGAAACAAAATATATTTTACCACATCGACTTACCCAAGCTGTCGTGGTACAAGGCGAAGGAAAAATCACCATGACGTCCCAGCCACACCAAAACCCAATGGACTCCATTTGGGTTCAGGATCATCGGCATAAAAAAATTGTCTCTTTGAAAATACTGGGAGACGATCAACTTGAAGTTGACCATTGAAACAATCTCGAAGGACCCAGCGGGTTTATCATATACGAACATAAGCACCGCTGAGATGTCCTCCATAGTGAGCCAGTGCTTAAAATCACCCGCATTCGTCGCTTCAACCAAGGTCATGGCTACCTGGGGCTAAAACAAATCATCAATACACTGGACTCGCCAACGAAAGTAAAAAAAAGTACTATTTTTTATCACGAGTGGCGGGAAGTTTGGAGGGAGCTGAAAGAGGAAAGAAGCGGGTGGTAACGGGCGCAGGAGCAGGTCCAGGGCCGCAGGCCCTGGTCGGGGCGCAGGGGCCGAAGGCCCCGCTGGGAGGTTGGGGAGGCGAAGCCCCCCCCACCCACAAAATAATTCTGTTTCTAGTTTTTTTATTTATAATAATAAATGAATCAAATTTTGTTCACAAAATGTGTGTACTTGCTATCCCAAGGAAAATACCTTGGTGAAATATTTATTATAATGATTAGTGTACGAGTCTACGTCGAGTGTTTCAACGAGTTCGTCGGAAGAATCCACCCCATGCAGCTCGTACGGATCGACCGGCCTCGTCGAGGTCGTTGCCGCTCACCTCATCCGCCAGCTGTACAAGAGCTTCCACTGCCTCGTTGTCCAGGTCTTCCCAGAGTGAGTCATCGATGGTTTGAGAAGCCGGCAGCGGTGGTATATAACTGTGTGCGAGCAGAAAGTTAAGTCTGTTGGATTAGAATTCGGTTAGAGGAGGAGAAAAAGGAAATTGCAATACTCACATTGCCTTAGCAGACTCCTTGGTCATGAGACCAATCTCTGGTCTTTGGCAGACCGGTCTCGATGATGGCGGTGGTGGTGGTCTGGACCGTGCTGTTCGCAGTAGCTGTCGTGGTCGTGGTGGTGGTGGTTACTGCGAACGCCTCACGCTCGATCGCCCTCGCTTGCTTGGAGAGGGAGCGTCAGCAGCCTCAATGGAATATTCTCGCCCCCTGGACATGGAAATGAAAAAGGAAAGAAAAATTTATATTTACTCATATACGTATATACGTTATCACGCCAAGAATGAGAAAAAGGTACGCACAGGCTTCTTTGCTTTAGGCGGCTTTTCTCCGTACTGCGCTGCGATGTAGCTTGTTAACCCCACTAACACCGAGACCGCTGCGTGCGTCCCCACTCAAACGACGTGCACTGCTGCACTCGTCCCCACCTCGCGGCATCAGCCAATCAGCGCGTGGTCGCTGTGTATATAAGCGAGCCACTTTAGCCGACTAGACACAGTCGTCTCTCGGCTAGCAGCCAGCCAGAGCACATCGACTCTCGTCTTCGCGTTCGCGTCGACGAGCACCCGAGAGTTTTGACCTAGGGCCACTTCTCAATAGTGAACTTGGTTAAATTAAAAAATACTTGCCTCATTATTTCAACACCTTTCCCACCTTTTGACTTTTCAAACTTCCGACTCGACCGCCAGGTGGCGCGTCGCCATAGAAAAGTCGTGCCTGCAAGAGAAAAGGTCGAGTTCAGAGTACTAGTATAAGTGCGTCTCTGCTCAATTCAATCAGCTTTTGACTGTGGGACTTGTTACAAGTGAGAATAGAAAAGTGATTGGACGTTTGTCTTTTGACTTTTGACTGTTCAACTTTACAAGTTGGACAGAAAAGTGATCAGCATTTGTGTCACTCTCCACTCCCACGAGTCATGTGACAGCCAAGCAGCCCGAGCCGACAACGACGAGCCCCTGCGCAGCAAATTCAGGGCGCCCTGATCCCTGCTTTTCAACGCTTGCTGGAACATCGACGACACGGACGCAGTCGTTGCCTGCTCTTTGAGTTTTTTCAGAAACCCAATCGTGTCGACGACATTCTCGATCGCGTGAACGCCACAATTGTTGAGATCGTCTCTCTCCTGCTGCTTGAACTTGGCGTCGAAAATACGAAATTTGCCAGATTTCAGTACTTTCTTCAGATCTGGCTCAATTTTATCACCTTATAAAACGTTACGATAACGATTAAATCATATTGAAACTAATTACCGAGAAACAATGACGTGAATTACCGAAACTGTCCTGGTGGTAGGCGAAATTGAGGCCGGCCGCTTTCTCCAGGACCAAGGAAATCCAATGGGTTCCTTGGCCTACGTGGACAATGATCGGCCACACGTTGATTTCCTTGTTGGCCTTGAAATCCTCGATAATTCGCTCGAGAGACTTGGCATTAGGTGCAATAGCGAAACCGTCGTAGCCGTGGTACAACCTTAGCACCGCGAAGATGTCGGTGGCACTCAGCCAGTGCGCCATGTTGTCAGCATCCACCGCCTTGACAATGTTCTACGGAAAATCGTTTTTATTAGTTGGAAATGCAACGGTAATCAAATGAAGATCTAATTTTGATTCATTCAATGGCGCGCGCGGGCGGTCGGACGCCACCAACCGAACAAAAAACCACGTTTTTTCTTCTTTCTCTCGCTATATCTCGCTAAAATCAAAAAACGCCTCTCTGGAAAAGGTCTATATCGATGGGAAATTTCCTAATCTTTCGATCTAGACTATTTAAAAAAATCTTAAAAATGAAGTTTTCGAGATAATCGACTTTAAAGTTTTCCCAGCGATTTTCCCGGGTAAAGCAGAAAATTTCGGAAAATCTGACCTCACCATCGGAAAGCTGAGGCAATTTCCCATCGAAACCATGGGTTCGCTTTTTTCTCTAGGTGCATTTTAGTACTTTTACAGCGATTCACAAATTTAGTGATTTGACTTAATTCTGCCGCGCCACGCGGCACTGGGAGAGTTGACGTGAAATGCCACAAATATATATATGTGGCTGGCAAATTGTGTATAACAAATTAAAAAATCTGAAAGTGCTTGCGTTTGTAACCACACATCTAATGATCAAAATGAGATCCCAAGGACCATGATTGAACCATCGGTTCTAGCTGGATCCTACGGCACAGGGGTACCTGTCAGGACTGTGGGCTTGCTTCATCGAGAAGGGTTCTATGGTGACTGGGACCTCAAATTTCATATTCCAGAGTGAAAAACTTTGAAAAAAGAGTGAAGAAAACAGAGTTTTCTCTGTACATGCCAAAAAAAATTTTTTTCTTCATAATTAATAAATTTTTCATAAATGTAGGTTTAAGGTACCTTTCCCCCCTTAAGTCATTTATTATGCCCTTAATATTTGTAACACAAGTATCGGGGAATATTATCGGGGAATAATTAGTTTTTAACACGTATTACCAATCCTTCATTAGTAAAAACGTCCGATCTCAAAAAGATTGTAATCGTTTCAGTATATCTGTCCTTTTTTTAATTCAAAACTAGATCGACCTCACCGTGTCCCGATTCCAAGTTAAGCTTTTCTCGTTTCAAAGTCAGAAAATGCCTATTCAAATACGTTATCATTATGTTCTCACGTGTTTTACATTCAACTCTTTGATCGCGTTGCGTGTACTTTCAAGTTCTACCTCTAGATGTCACTTTCA